AGGGCCATGGAGGGCTAATTATGTTGCTGAGGAGCAAGGCCAGAAGCAGTTCTCATGGAAAGTTGTGGACTTGAGTTGGGGAGTGAAGCAGGTTTGCTGGCTCCAGAAGCATGACCACCCCAACTTGGGGACATGAGGGCATGTCTGTGGGGTGGCTCAGGCTGCCATCAGTGTTGAGGAGCTCAGTGCAGAAGTCGGGTGGGACACCAGAGGAGCTTCCGGGGGAAACGGATGGTTCTAAAGACATGGACGATTCAAGACAAGGTTCCAGCCTGGGCCCAGCCAGGGGAGGGCAGAGAGGGGAGCAGAGGTCTGGAAGAGGCAAGTAGAACAGAGCAAGTACAGGGCACATGTGCTCTTGCCCAGGCCTGAGGCCAGAATGGCATGGACTAGACAAACCTGGGCCCCAGGCTGAGGACCACCCAGGGCTGGTGAAGGACAGGGATGGATAGGGGCTGATGCCACTACTGCTCAGCACAAGTCCAGCTCCTGTGGGCCTGGCTCTTGCCTACCCTTTACTCATGAAAGACCTCAAAGCCCTACCTTGAGGAACATACATCTGTGCTGAAAGAGAAGCTTGGGGCCAAGGATGGGAAATTGTAGAACATAACTTTTCTCTTGCTGAGTTCCCAAGGCAGAGTTCCCACGGGTGGCAGGAGAGAGGGAGGGCAGGGGTGAGGGTCCTGCCTTACCTAAAGTGACAACACTCCCCGGCCTTGCTCTATGAATAGGTTCCTGGGAGTGCTTCCACACAGGAAGCTCCCACCAGAGGAAGGACTGAAAGAGAAGCTTCCTATGGCTTTGCTTGTCTGCTGGAAGCTCTCCGGGCTGGCTCCAGTCTCATCTTGAATGTGGCCACGTGAGACCATGTCCTGGGTCCTCTTGGGTCAGGGAGGGAGGGGTGAAGTTTCTAGAGACACAATTCCCCAGTGGCCAAACGAGTGAGCCCATGGCCCCAGGACAGCTGCTGGGGTGGCCGGAGCCTGAAACAGGGAATGGGCCCTGTGCTTGAGGCAATGCTCACAGGCAGGATGGTGCTCCAGGTCTCCTGGCTGCCACCAGTCACCGCTGCTGCTTTAGCAAACACAGTTCCTCCTCAGCAGCCTGGGCAGGGCAGCGGAGAGGGGTGCTGGGTGGATTCCTGGCCTCCTTAAATGGCCACACACCAATTAAGGCTGCAGCCATCAGGGGCCCATCTTGAGCAAATCGTTTAGGAAGAAGATGAGGTTAATGACAGGGAGCCAGGACAACAGGGCCAGTGTGACTCATTATGCTCTTGCTTGTTCATCAGGCTGGGTTTCCGGGATTCCAGGCAATCACACCCACCCACAAGCCTGTGCTGCCCTAGTGCTGACAGCAAAAGAGGTTGCCTTGGTGTCCTTGAGGCCCTCCTCAGGTGGGGAGGGGCTGTCCTGAGCCTCCTGAATACTGGACTAACTCCCTCCTCGTCACTGAGGACACCATGTTGAGCCCAAGGGATCAGAACCAGACCAACCCTGGGACCATCAGCCTCCCAACCCTGTTGACATACAGAGCCAAGCTCAGGGAAGGGATATGATATAGCAGAGGGCTGTCCCCACTAGCCGCTGTTGTTGGGTTGTTGGGGTACCAGAACCAGTCCCAGTGGGGCAGCCAACTCAGGCAGTGGGCTCCACAGGCCCCTGATTCCACTGCTCCCAATAGAGCCCCTTGGCCACAGGAACATCAGGAAGCCAGGGCCAGCCACACAGAGGAACAGAGGGGCCAGAACCGTGCTGGTGGAAAAGTGGCTGAGATCCCTGCGACAAGTAGGCTCGTGCCCCGAGCCTCTGGAGAACTGGGTGGCTGGGAGGACACAGGCCGGAGGGGCCCATGAACACAGCCTGTCAGGAGCTCCTGATGAGGGTTGGCCCAGAGCTTTAGGGTCTGGGTTGGATGCAAATGCTTTGTCCACGTGGCCTCTCCCCTCAGCTTGTCCAAGTGCAGGTTCTTTCCTGGAATTCTGAGAATTTAACAAAGGTTAGGAGGGAGGTAGCAATTTAAATGAATAGGTGTCTACCTATTCTTTATTTCGCATGTTAAGAAAATTAGGGAAAGTAAGGGAGTGCGAGGGGTGGTGGGAATTGCTGCTGAGATGTACTTCTAACCCCAAACCCCTAACATTCCCTCAGCTTCTAATAAGGAAATGCCTGTGATTCAGTTATCCAGGAGCTGTTACCAAAATCCAAAATGAGGGGAGATGACAAGCTGAGAGGTGTGTGTATTTCCAGAGGGGCTGCTTTTGTAGCCCAAACCACACTCCAGGGGAGTCATTGGATAGAGCTGGCAGGGAAAGACACCCTGGAGATGCCCATAGGAAAGGCCCCCCCATGAGGCCCTCAGCCCTGACAGGTACACACATGGGTGGGTCCTGGTGGTGGGCCTGTCTGCCAAGCTACCTCGAGCCCACCCAGGTCCCCAAGACCCACTCCTGCCTGCCTCCTTTCCAGACAGTGATGCTCAGCTCAGGGTCCTGTTGTTGTTTTCAGAGGGTGGGGGAGGGGGAGGGGAATGAGTCTAGATGAGCAGTCCCCATAGTGGCCAGAGTTCCCCAGGGCCCTCTTGTTTCTCACTCCCTGGGAGTAACCCCAGATCCTCACTCAGCAGAATGTAATGTCCAGGACAGGCGCTACAGGAGTAAGAACTCTTTCCAGAAGAACCATAGACCCCCTGCAACTCTGCCTTGGACATGGTGATACACACGGACCCCCAGGCTGGGGGATGGTCTATAAACACAGGTCTAGCTCTGGCCGGTGGCTCTGTGCACTGAGAGCTGCTGCCGTCTAGGCAAGTGTATGAGAGCAGAAGTTACCTGGGGAGGGCCTGACCCGGCCACTCTAGTAAAGCCCTCCTTGGCAGCCCCAATCTGCCTGTGTCTGGAGAGCCCAAGGATAGGTCGGGCCCAACGCTGACATCCAAGTGCTGACCCAGGACACACTGACATCATCCTACAAGAAAATGGTAGCGGGGGGTGAGTACCCTCCTGACCCCTTACATCTGATAATTGTACCCATGAAGTAGAGCTTCCATTGGCAGTAGACAAACTGGAAACAAAAGCAGACCACCACCTCCCAGACCATTCCTCAAGAACCCAAACAGTAACTCAAATGCAGAGAGATGGATTCCAGAAAGAGATTGTAAGGCTTGACTTACGTGAATATGAGGACTGCAGCATCCCTGGTCTGGCCTTGTGAGCAAGAACTGCCACACAACACCACGGAGACCCTGGTCGGGTCCTGCCGACTCCAGCAAGGAGTCATCTGTGTCTTTGGACATGACCTTGCCCTGGGCTACCTGCTCAAATCATCAGACCTCCAACATCTGGTAGCTATGGAAGCCACAACAGGGCAGGGGCAGGAGAGCTGGCCTGGGAGGGGATGGCAAGCTGCATCTCCTGGACCAGGCTGACCTATGGCTAACCAAACTCTGAGCTCACGTACCTCCTGAAGGAAACAGCCACGCACCTCACCTGTCAGTTCCACCAGCAGGTCAGCCAGGCTTCTCCACACGTTGGCAGGGCCACTAGAAGTGCAGCTGATCCCCAGAGGGTCCCCAGAACAGTCTGAGCTCCAGGCTGGCCTTCTTCCATTTACTACTTATGGGGAGTGTGTAACAGACAGCAGGTCCTGTGGTCCTAGTGGGATTGGTAGGGGATTGGGGAGCAATGGGCTTCCAGTGAGCACCTGCTCCACACCAGGTACAGGGCTAAGTGGGTGCCTCACAACCACCTAGACAGGCAGGCATTACTAATTTACACAGTAAGAACCTGAGGTTCAGAGAGGCTGTATCATAATGTTGAGGACACAGAGCTGGCAAGATCCAGGACTCAGCCAGATGCCTGACTGAGGACAGCACTCTTCCCCAATCCAGCACAGGCTAAAGGAGTCTTCCTCATGTCTGTCTTTTATCAGGACTCAGAGGACTCGCATTCACTGACGTCTGCCCAGCTCTTCCCCAGAGCTCAGGTCCTACTTCTGCTTGGAAGTCACAGAGGCTGGGAAACCCATTAACCACACAGCACTGATGGCTCCCAGGAAGATCCAATACCACCTCACCCCCACCTCATCCCTCACCCCACCCCAGGGCAGGGTTGGTGCTGGGCTGAAGGCCCAGAGGACCCTAGACACGTGGAACACCCTCACCCAGGCTTTCCCAGCACAGATGCAGAGGGAGATGCCTAGGGAACCCCTCATGAGCAAATGCAAATGGGGATCCTAACACTCTGGGTCCCAGTAGAAGAGTCAGCTGGGGCCAACCAGTGGGAGGTGGGTGGGGTACAAGGCCTCCGGCTGCCCTTACTCTCCCACCATAAAGAATGGCTTCAAAAAAGGGTGTCCTGGGCTTCAGAGGTGCCCCTGCCAGGACTCTCCCAAGTAGCCACTTTCATAATTCCTTCACGGGCCTACGGATAAGTAATGCTCACCCACAACAAGCCATTTCTGTCATGAGCTGAGTAAAGTCAGTTTTAATTCTGAGTCCTTTGCTCTCACACATTCTGGGAGGAGAAGGCACCAGGTCATGGTGCACCTGTGTGGAACAGAGATCAAGGCCACTGCAAAGCAACCACCCACCCTGGCCAAGGTTGTTCCTGAATAAGCCCAACTCAGAGGTGTTCACTCCAGGCCTTTTCTTGGGTTTTGAGAAAACCATTGCAGGCTGAGAAGGTGGTAAGTACCAGGAAGGTGAGTGAGACCCAAGGTCGCTGGGCCACCTCTTCCACAAAGCAGAATGAATTCAATCTGCAGGCTCCCAGAAGCAAACGTGGTCTTGGCAGCCAGGCCGTAGGCATTCTTTTCACATATGTAGGTCTTTTCCGTGGGGGCCCTCCACTTGAAAAGGGGGACCGGCATAACCCCTGGGGCTGGGGCAGGGATGTGATTCCCATAGAGCCAAATCCCCTTTATTTATTCACCCAAGTCCCAGTACAAATCCCCAGTCTGCCACCCCCTAAATCGATCAAGCTCTTGATTCTGCTCCCCTGATCATGTCTTTCTCTGCATGATTAGCTGTTGGTTCTCCAGACACTGTTTCAGCTTGTCCTCTGTCAGTGTCAAACGCTGCTCCAGGATGGAAACAGTCTGCAAAATAAATGGTAGGTTAGAGTCAGTGCGGCGACAGCCAGGTTACCTTGGGGATCTCCTCCAGCCAGTAACAACTCGGCGGCATGAGCCATTTGGCCACTGCCCAAATACCAGGTGCTCTTCCTATCCAGGGGTCTGCCTGGCCCCATGCCTGTGGGGACAGCCTTGCCATCATGTTGAATTCTCCTGGCTCTGGATGGCTGGTCTCTGATATTTGTGGGCAGAAGCAGGGGCAGGATGCGGGAAAGTAAAGGAGATGGGAGGTCTCACAGCTCTGCTTGTCTCTCAAGGCAACCAAGGAGCCAGGAGTCCCCAGATCTGGTGGTCTGCCAATTAGACTGTGGCATTCTGGAGCAGAACCAGCTTCCTCCTTTTGGGCCAGGCCCCATCCAAAAACAACTGCATCAAAAGCTGTGAAACTGAGCGCTCATTTCATAGGTGAGAAAAAGGAACCCCCAGATGAAGGTGTTTCATCTGCGTCCTGCCCACAACTTGGGCCTCTCACCTCTACGCCTGGAGGGACCCTCAGGCTGACAGGAGATAAAAGCTGGGAGGTGAGTCCAGTGAGGCCCACTATCTATGGGCTAGGCTAAGAGGCTCTGAACAGCCCATGGGTGGTCATGGACCAGTAACAATTCCACATCTCTGAGTGTGTTTTCTCTGCATGTAGGAGCCTAGCTCATGGCTGTCCTGAGTACTAAGGTGCCTCAGCGCGCTGCCCAGCGTGTATGCAGCTTGTCTCATGCTGGCCGTGCTGCTCATCATGCTGCCTTTCTGAGGCTGAGCCCTGCTCCCCCTTCCACATTCTCACACAATGGGTGGCTCAGGGACTGGGTGCTTGGCCTGCTGAATTCCCCTAGCCACTGGGGGCTTGATGTGCTTTGTGGGCCAGGGTGTCTTGTAGACATAGCTCCCAGATGAGGCTGTGAAAACCAACCCAACTCCTTTGGCTTTAGACAGAGTGTTGGCAGAGGGGCTGAGACGTCTGGTACCCACCCTCCCCACAGAAGGCCAGGACTACTGCCTTTGGGCACTCCCACCACAGGCTTGCCCCCAACCACATGCCCACCCAGAACTTGTTGAACCACTACAAAGCACTCTCATCTCATGGCCTTCCTCCAGGACTGACGTCAGTCTATGGCATTAGGAAGGGGCCGGATTAAGAAATCAAACTCTTTAGAGCAACCAGTCATACAAGATCAAAAGAATAGCATTTGCCCAGGGGTAAAGCTCAGAAGTCAAGAAGGGATAGGAAAGAAGGATGAAGGGAAATGGTGAACACAGGGAGGAAGTGGGAAGAGTGCTGTTACATTGTGAGGACTGCAATCAATGCTACAAAACACAATGTGTATGAATTGTTGAGTGGAGAACCAATCTGCTCTGTAAAATTTCATCCAAATCACAATAAACAGTTTAAAAAAGAAAAGAAAAGAAACAAAACTCTATTAATTTAAACCATTGGATTATGGGCGTTCTCAAGAGGTAATGCCACAAGAGGTCCCATGAAGGCTCTGGGCCTTGGCCCACTGGAAAGCAAACTTTCCTTTTACACATTTAATAAAACATTGAAACATTTTGGGAGGGAATTTCCCCTCTAAGACTGCTATAAATCCTGCAGCATCCAGCGCAGATGTTAGCAGCTCATGGAGGTCTCTGTCTGGTAGCTGGTCCCTTCTAAACAAACTGGCTGGGGCTTCAAACCCCAGGTCACAGGACAGGGCCCGGAAAAGTTGCTGCCCATGGAATATGGTCTGCACCCTGAGAGGCAGAACTGAGTTGAAAGAGACTGTCACGTTTCTCCACTGCCAGTCTGCCAGCCAAAGATGGGGGGTCGGTGGTAGTGGTGGGGGTGGGGGGTGGTCTCCAGCTCATAAAAGTGGTGGCGGAAACAGCCCCCAGCTGGCCTGGAGCAGCATTCCTGGTAGTTTCCACTGGCTGCTGCGAAACTCACACCAAGCCAAGCTCCCAAATCATTTTTCATCCAGACTTTTTCCGATGGCCTCAGACTCCAGGCCACAATGGAGCCAAGCCTGCTGCTTTTCCTCTTCTGCACCCCTCTCCTTTTTTGTTTTTTTTTTTGAAATTATTTACTGAGACTCAATTTCCAAATGTGGAGGCAGTGGTCCCAAAACACATGTGGACAAGGTTCATGCATGGCCACAGGCAGCCCAGCCCCCCAGCCTCCAGCAAACCTTGGTCTCTGGGACCAGGGTGAGTCTCAGATGGCTAAGGCCAATGTCAACACCCGCTGGTGCTGCGTGCATTTCATGAGGCCTCCACTTAGCTCCTTTGGGGAGGGCTGCACCTCAGCTCAACAGGAATGGGGCCATTTGCTGATAATAAATTTCTATGAACAAAGAAGCATCTCCCATTTCACAACCAGCCCCTGAATGGAGGGGTCGCTATTGGAGGGGAGGTCTCATCCCTCTGGAACTTTGAGGGTGCTCTTCAGAGCACATTATGGCCAAAAAAATCAAACCTCAAGTTGATTCTGACTTATAATGACTATAGGACAAAGTAGGTCTGCCCCATAGGGTTTCCAAGTCTGTATAATATCTCTACAGAAGCAGACACCCTCATCTTCCTCTGGTTGAGCATCTGGTGGGTTTGAACCACCTTTTGGTTAGCAGCCGAGTGCTTAACCACTGGGCCACCAGGCCTCCTCATATTATGGGCAAATGGGCTTTTTAAAAAGAGCCCATCGCCCCTCAAACCTGCATGCGCTCTGCCTGCCACTTCCTAGCTCCTCCCACTCCCAGCCAAACCTCTGGAAGAGTCATCTATGTGCTTGGTCTCTGCTTCCCCATCCCCTTGCCCCCACACCTGCTCTGCCAAGGTGCTGGGTGGTGGTCACCACCCCAGATAAACCCACCAGGCACTGCCCAGCCACATTTGATCCGTCCAACCCCTCAGTGGCTTTGGAGCAGGGAAGATAGGCCAAGGAGGAAAGGGTTTCTGTTTGTACAATGCCAGGGTTGAATAGCTGTGACAGACACTATGGCCCAGAAAACCTAAAACATTTATTATTTAAGAAAAGGTTCATGACTCCTGCCTGAGACTCTCTCTTCACTCACTGAGCACCTCCTGAGCTGGTCTGTGTCTGATCTAGGGTGACAATGGTGCAGGAAGATAGTGCCAGGTCCACATGGAATGTACTGGTCTGAGGACAACCGGGGAATGGGCTGAGGAAGTGAGGAAGAAGTGACAGCTGAGACAGAGTTCATCAGGCAAGAGGGGCAGAAAGAGAATTGGGCCAAAGGAAGTACATATGAAGGCTCTGAAGTGGGAGGAATGTGGGGACAGAGGGATGGACCAAAAAAGGCCTGTGTGCTAGAATGAGAGGGAGCTGTACAGGAATAGGAGACAGTTCGGGCCCCTGGCAGCTTTACCTTCACCCTTAAAGCAGTGGGGAGGTCCTGCGGGGTCCTACGCCAAAGGGAGAGGATAACTCTCTGGCTGCTAGATGGGGTCAGTATGAGTGGCGGCTATGGGGAAGCAAGGTGGAGGCAGAGAGAATAAGGTATGATGGTGGCCTGGAATAGGGAAGGGTAAGGAAGAATAGATAAAACTAGAGATATCTATAAGGTAGGAACAAACACCATCACATGGTGGGTCAGATGGAAGAGATGAGAGAGGAGAAGACACTCCTTGAGCTGAGAACACAGAACCAGAACTGATCCTGTGTGAGGGGCAGAGGTCAGGCTCCAAGCCTGGAGAGGTAGAGTCTTGTCCTCTGAGACACCAGAGAGGTCAGATAGATGGAGTGGGCTGGACCGAGGCTAATATCTGGGAGCAGCCTGGGGGCTGCTGGGAGATAGAGGAGAGAGGGAGGGCGGTGAATTCACAGCCTCCTGGATACTGGAGAGGAACACCACAGTGCAGATGAGCTAAGGGCCCATTTGCCCAGCCAGCGTTCAGTATGGTATTGATGAGGCCCACTGCAACCAATTTGAATATTACAGCTCCTCAGCCAGGCAGACCAACGGACAGGAGGGCTCTGGAGTTGGTGGGAGGCCAAAACTAATAGTGTGCTGAGAAGCTGGCTCAGGCTGCTCCCAGCAGCCGGACAGTAGGTCTAGGAGCTGGTGCTCAGTGTGGGGCTTCAAGCCTGACTCACCCGCCCATACTCTCCAAGGAAAGTGCTCCTGGGAGAGGCTAAACTATGACATTTTATTCAAGCCATTATTTTCCTGCTTAGGGGAGAGAAGCCACTGTGATCTGCCTCTTTTTGGGACAACAGTACCAGGACAAACGCATCTTCTCTTGCTCACAGTTCAAGATGTGTAAGACGTTTCATGTAACACCCTGAAGGGCCTTCGGAGTATGGTATAAAAATAACAAATTTTAAAGTGACAGGCTATTATTTTTAGTTCCTTAAGAATTAAAGTGGTGCCCAAAGAAGCTGCATTGAAATGCCAGTCCTCGGCGACATGTCTGGCACCCAGGCCCCCAAGTCCAAGTGGGAGGGGAGCATAACCGCTGGAGATATTCAACAGACAGCCCCCACTCTGTACCTCGTGACCTCAGATGCCCCTTTTCTCTACCATCATCAAGTGACTAGGGATCTACCGAAAGCTTGCCATGGCCCTGTGATCGCTGGGACCCAGGACAGTGTTGAGTCCAGCTGCCACACTGCCCCCCACACCCTCCATTGCCTAAACTGGCAAGCTGAGGTGCCCTGCATAGTACGGAGCCTGGGCTTATTTCTCTGTTGGCCTCCAGAGTGGCTGACCTCAGCTTTTCTGACATTCATGCCAGGGACTCTGGCATCTGGGGCCCCGTAAGAGGCCATAAGTGGGTGACCACGACCTCTGCATGACTCCACAGCTTACAAGGGGGATGGCTGTGTAGGCTAGGGAGTGACACTCTTATGGGCTCTGCTCCATCTAGGGAAGAGTTCTCTGAGCATCAAAGAGATGAGGGGAGAGTCCAGTGTTCCTGGGATTGAATGAATCACCCCATTACAGAAGTGGGGAGACAAAGCAGAATGAGGGCAG